ACACGCACCCACACACCCACACACACGCACACACACACACACACAAACACACACATGTACGCACAAACGTACCTGCATCACCAATGCCGAGCTGTCCAGCGCCTGTGGCGCCCCATACAGCAACAGACATAACTTGTTAAGGGCTCGCTTGCTCGTCGCGCTCAAAGCACGCACGCACATACGGAAAGAACCGCTTTGTGTCTGCTTGACTGGCACTGACACCAAGAACGTGTCGTGCTTCTCTTCTGCAACAAAACCCACAATACACGAGCGAGTGTGAGCGTATGTGAAGAGACGTCACTCACACACTCTCTCTCTCGAACTGTTCTTGCTTGCTTGCAGAAGCCGACACCGACGCAGCAGGCACCCCAACACACCCACACACCCACACACACCCACACACATACACGGCATACAGGAACAGACAGAACCCCCACTCTCTGTCATCATCATCACCACCTTGCTGCTGTTGCTTGCTTGCTTGCCTCAGGTGTTTGTTTGTTGTGTCCGTCCGTTTCTTGCTTTTCTTCTTCTTTTTGCTTCGCGCAATTGGGTGCTACGAAAATTGGCGCATATCTTCACAATATCGTCATCGTTACCTCATAGCTGCTGCTGTGTTTGTTTGTTGCTGTCGTTCTGCACAGCGTGAACCCGTCCCCCCACGGTTGTGTTTTGTTGTGTTGGTTGGTTGGTTGGTCGCACTTTTGGAGCTACGTCCCCGGCGTCACCCTACCTACCGTTGTGCTGTTGTAGTTCACTGTCCATCCATTGTTCTCTTCGTCTCAGATCACAGTTAAGTCTGTTGTTCCCTTGTCGCATCACGCCACTGAACTCCCCACCGTTGTTTCGTCTTCGTCTACTTTTGTCTTCCCTTGTTCTTCTCTTTGTCTTGTTGTTCTTGTGTTCCGACGTTCATTCTTCTCTTCTTCTTCTTCGTTGTCTTCACCCATATCATCACGTCACTGACCAACCAAGCATGAACTGGCAATATGACTTGGCGGTTGCTGCCGTGAGCTTTGTGGTGTTCTACCTGCTGGATGAGCTGATTGTGAAGACGGGCTTCTTCCCAAAGAGCGACAAGAACGGCCGCTACTTCACACTGCATGTTGTGTGCAACCTCGTGGTGACGCTGGTGCACGTGGACGACCTCCTCTTCACCTACATGCACCCGATGGAGGCCGCCTTTGTGGAGTGCGACTGCTTCGGCACCGACGTCATGTTCGCGCTGCACGTGTACCACATGGTCGCCTTCCTGCCCCTCGCCTACGTGGACTGGCTGCACCACATCATCATGATTGGCATCACGCTGCCCATGTCCTACATTGTGCAGCCGGGCTCGCTGCTGGGCCACGGCACCTTCTACGCGACCGGCCTGCCGGGCGGCATCGACTACGCCATGCTGGTTGCCGTGAAGAAGGGGTGGATGAAGTCCGTCACGGAGAAGCGCTACAACAGCAACATCCAGCAGTGGATCCGGTCCCCGGGCTGCGTCATCGACGCCTTCCTCGTCTGGATCAGCTGGGTGGAGTACTGCCGCCGCGCAGACGCAGGCATGTCCCCCATCACGCCAAACACGTCGCTGTACAACACGGCGCCGCGCTGGGTCATCTTCGTCATCACCTTCTTCAACCTGGCCACCATCTTCTGGAACGGCCCCTACTTCTCCAAGCGCGTCATCGAGTCGCACACCCGCCACGCCCTGCGCGACAAGCTGCGCCGTGAACTGGAGGAGGAGCTGGCTGCTGGTGGTGGTGCTGCCAGGAGCACGACGACGGGCAAGCAAACCTCCACAGCGGCCCCAGCAGGCAAGAAGCCTGCCAACGGCACTGCCGCTGCTGGTGCTGCTGCACCTGGTGCTCGTCGACGTGCCAAGGCAGACTAAGCCAGGCAAGCCAGCAGAGAAGCAAGCAAGTGACAAGGGGGGGGGGGCTGCCACCCTCTGGTGGTTGGGACTCCTGCGGCCTTGTGTTGTGTGATGTGATGTGGTGTTGCTTGGTTGTGTGCGAGGGGTGTGTGCGTGCATGTTCGTTTGTGCGAGTGGTTCGGATGGTGGTGTTACGGTACTGGTTGTGACTCTTGGCCTTTTGGACATCTTCGTTACATGCATCAGCGTGTCAACGCTGACCACCAAATAGAAGACAACAACAGTTCACATCACATTGTGGGTGCCAAGCGCAAGCAAAGACGAAGGAAGCAAGTCGCGCAGAAGCAGAGCAAGGAAGGAAGGGACGCAGCAACAAACAAGAGGCGGACAAACCACACAAAGGGAGTTGAGGGGGCAAAAATACACACAGCACTGCGACCTGTTACGTGAGCGACGACAACGCATTGTCAGTCAAGACAACTCACATCAAGCAAGCCACCGCCCACCGAGACCACAGCCACACTGCTTCCTTGGTTGGCTCGGGCGCCAGTCTCGTTGGTGTGACAATATCAGAGTGCAGAGAAGCGAGAGCACAAACACCACTCACCCACCATGCAGAAGATTGGCTCCATCAAGCCATATCGCCGCAAGGTGTGTGTGTTGTGTGCTCGTGTGTGTGTGTGTGTGTGTGTGTGTGTGTGTGTGTGTGTGTGTGTGTGTGTGTGTGTGTGTGTGTGTGTGTGTGTGTGTGTGTGTGTGTGTGTGTGTGTGTGTGTGTGTGTGTGTTTTGCTTGCTGTACGCGGTTGTTCACATCAACGGCACCATGTGCTGGCGCTGCGGTTTCATGCTTGAACAGGCTGCGGTGAACGACAGTGTGGATACGCTTTGGTCCAAGCTGGACAATGCCATCACACTCATACAGGTAAGAGGTGTCTCGCGCACCGCGTTGTCATCCGTGTGTGTGTGTGTGTACGTGTGTGTGTATGTGTGCGTGTGTGTATGTGTGTGTGTCGTTGAAGGTCGTGGTGTTCCACATCTTTCATGCAACCCTCCCCCAACCACACACACACACGCACACGCCCTCAGGAACATCGGGAGAGCAAGCTCAGCTTTGAGGAGCTGTATCGGACAGCGTACCAGATGTGTGTGCAATCCCACGACCAAGTGAGTGACGTGCGTGCGTGCGTGTGTGTGTGTGTGCGTGTGGAGGGCTTCCCTCCTCCATTCGTGCGCATTGAACAGGCGTCTGGTGGCGGTGGCGGTGGTACAAGCGTTGCTGCGGCTTTCGAGCTGCTCAACCGATGACTTTGATCGGCACACTGTAATTGCCCATGACGCAGGAGCTGGTGAAGCGCGTGACAAACAAGCTCAAGGCCCGTGCCAACAAGCTGCGGCAAGGCATTGAAGAATGCATCGGCATCGTACGTTGTGTGCGCATGTGTGCGTGTGCTTGAGGAATTGTGTGCCATGTTATCACGTTCCATGTGATCACACACACACACACATACAACCACGCAATGCAACCCTGCTCAATCACACACACACACACGCACACACACACACGCACATACGCACGTACACACACGCGCGCACACACACACACAAACACACACTGCAGGACCGCGTTGCGTTCTTGAAGAAGCTGTCAAGCGCATACAGCATGTACTGTCTTGGGGTGATCAAGATGAGCGACATCCTCATGTACTTGGTATGACACCCGTGCACATCTAGAACTACTTCTTTGCTCTGCGTGCATGATTGTGCGCACGCGCTTGCATTAGTGGTGCAACCCCGCTACGTCACCTGCCAACCCCCCCCATCATCACCTCCTCTCTTTCCCAACGCCATACCACCGCACTTCATCGGTTTCACCATCCCCACCAATCGCAACCAATATGATCGATGCTGTGACAGGACAAGCAGTACCGCGCGCGCCGCAACCTGCCAACCATCTTCACGATTGCAATGGGCGTGTTTGAGAGCGAGGTGGTGATGGCAGCCAATCTCAACTCGGAACTGCAGGATGCTCTGCTCGTTCTTCTTGATGAGGACCGCGAGGGGAAGGCCATCGAGCGGTGTGTGTGTGTGTGTGTGTGTGTATCTGTCTGTGTATGTGCGTGTGCGTGTGCGTGTGCGTGTGCGTGTATTGTGTGTGTGTGTGTGTCTGCCTGTGTCTGTGTTTGTTTGTCCGTCCCTCGACGCGTCCCTTGCGTGACCGCCTTTTCCGTACACGCACTCATCTTGCACCACACCTGGCCACAGCTCTGTTGTCAAGGCGTGCACCTCCATGTTGGTGCAGCTGGGCGCCGACACCTCCGATGAGGAACTACACGTCTACAACACGGTCAGTCAGTCGAGCATGCGTTTGTGACCAAGAGGGGCCAATCGCTCGTCCTTCTCCCCACGACTTTTCTTGCCACAACACACAACACAACACAACACAACACAACACAACACAACACAACACAGCACAACACAACACAACACAACACAACACAACACAACACAACACAACACAACCACAAATCCATTGACGCCATCTCGTGCGTTCAGTTCATTGTCTTCTCACCCCCCCCCCCTCCTGTCAACACTACCCCCTCCCCCCACTCCCTTTATTCACGCTGTCAGAACATCGGCAAGCGGTATCTTGATCGGATTGACAACTACTACCGCAACGCAAGCCAGCGCCTCCTCGAACAGAACACGTGCTCCTGTACGCAACACCCTCGTCTGCCCCTCCTTCCCCACCCGTCTCTCGTGCACCATGCCACCACACACTGCATGTTTTGAACTCTCTAGCGCACCACACGACTCGCCACATGGCCTTGGATACTCGAGTGCCTGTGTTGGCAGGGCTTGCACGACACACACACACACACAACACACACAACACACACAACACACACAACACACACAACACACAACACACACACACACACACACACACACACACACACACACACACACGCACACGCACGCACACGCACGGGAGCAGATGCCCTTGCTAGTCCGATTGCTCACGGCTTTGCCTTGTCACGACCTCCACTGTGCATGGCAGGGTACGTTTCGTACACTGTGCGGCACTTGCAGGAGGAGGAGGACAGGTGTGACCACTGCCTTCACGAGGAAACAAAGGAAGCAGCGCTCAAGGTTCTTCACGCCGAGCGTATTCTGCGACTTGACTTGTCACGACTGTGTTGATGGTGGTGGTGGTGGTGGCATTGTGAACGAGGACACGTTGGTGGCAGTGACAGGTCTTGTTCGGAAACAAAGGCAGCTCGACACATCGAACTTTGTGGCCTCACCTTGTGAATGCGGTGCGGATGTGTTGTGCAGTTGCTGCGGCGACGGTTGCTTGAGGACCACATTGCCGAGATTCTCCGCCTTCCACAGGGCCTCACACACATGATCGACAACAAGCGCGACAAAGGTGCACCTGGCATTCATTCGCGCGCACAGCACCCTTCCTGTCAACATGTTCTTTGCCTACAACTTGCGCATGACACCACACCCACCCACAACCACACACACAACCACACACACACACACATACACATCACATCACACACACACACAACCACACACACACACACACACAACCACACACATCACATTGTCTGCCACGCCCATTGCCAAACCAACACACGTTGGTCCTCACCGTCTCTATCTCGTTTGCCACGACTTTCTCCACCACCATCACCCAACATCCCTGCTCTCTGGTCAAGATCTGCGTGCACTGCTGACGGTGTACGCTGGGACGACGGTCGGTATCGCCACCGCTGCCGCTGCCGTCCGCGAACACGTCGTGGTGCGTCATCGGCCCACATGTCCAGGCGTGCAGTGGTGGTTTGCGGTCGAACATATTATTGCGTGTCGTGGTCGTCACGGTTGTGTGGTGTGAGCAGTACAGAGAACCGCCATTCACACGCACATTTACACACACACACACACAAACACAACACGCACATTCACACACAAACACACACACACACAAACACAACACGCACATTCACACACAAACACACACACACATACATACACACACACTTTCACAAACACACACACACACACACAAACACAACACGCACATTCACACACAAACACACACACACATACATACACACACTTTCACAAACACACACACACACACACACACACACACACAACACATTCGTTCAGGCGAGCGGGCGTGCTGCCATCGATTCGCATCAAAGCCAATCGCGACCCGCCGTTCCCATCATGCAGGTGTGCCCTGGTGTGGTGGTGGTTGTGGTGGTGGTGTGCAGAGTACTCTCGTGAGCAGCTTTGCTCGTGTTTTGTTGGCCTGGCGCTTACCATGCCACAATGCCATCGCAACAACTGTCACAATCACCAGGCGATTCTTGATCTCCGAAAACGGTTTGATGGCGTTGTATCTGTTGCCTCGTTCGACCCAGCCGTCCACGCCGCCATCCGAAGAGACGTCACGCAGGTGCGCGCGCACACATGTGCACGCATACACATGTACATGTGTGTACACGCGTGCGCTGTGGTTCCTGTTGGTGTTGCTGCCTAGTTCGTTTGTGTGTGTGGCACTGCATGTAGTGTTGCCTGAAGGAGGACTGCAGTGTGCATGCCTCACGCATTCGTCTCATGCCTCATTCATTGCTGTGTCTTGCCCACACTCACACACACATACACCACATGCACATCCACACACAAGGGGTTTGAGGACTTTGTGAACGAGCTGGAGCAAGCGCCGGAGTATCTTTCGCTCTTCATCGACGAGCAGCTCAAGCGCGGCATCAAGGCGGTCCGTGTTGTTGTTATTGGTGGTGATAGTGTAGTGTGGTGATCGTGGTGTGTGGTTTGTGGTGTTGATAGTGTGGTGGTGGTGGTACTGTGGTGGTGTGTGGTGTGTGGTGGTGGTACTGTGGTGGTGTGTGGTGTGTGGTGGTGGTACTGTGGTGGTGTGTGGTGTGTGGTGGTGATAGTGTGGACGTGATGTAGTTGTTGTGCTTGCGGTTGAGCAAGTTTGAAATGGGTACGCTGCTCAATGCACTGATCGTAATTATTCTGACTGCCTCGCTCCTCTCTGCTAGTGTGTGTCATTTCTCACCCCCACGCTTTGCCTTTCCTTCTGGTGTTGGGGTTGATGGTCACAGCTCTCTGATTCGGAGGTGGAGGCCTTGTTCGATCTCACCACCAAGATCTTCAGGGCTATCACTGACAAGGTGACCACCACGCCGATGCTCTGTTTGGCATGAAAACAAGTGCAGTTTGTGTTGGGAACGCTGCCTCTGAGCGTTGTTTATTGCAATTCGTGTTTCATCTTCTGCCTGCACCACTCACCACCGCATATCCTCCCGGACACACACACACACACACACACACACACACACACACACACACATAACAACACATACACACACGCATCCCCTTCCACCACTTCATTGCGTGTGCACAGGATGTGTTTGAGCGCTTCTACAAGCAGCACTTTGCACGTCGCCTGCTCCTCAACAAATCCGCATCCATCGACGCCGAGCAGTCGTTTCTGCAACGCCTTCAGGTGTGTGTGTGTGTGTGATTGTGTGTGAGTTTGCTTGTTCGTGGATGGTGTACTGGGGCCCAATTGAAGTGCTTGAACTCCGCCGACGCACACACACACACACTCTCTCTCACATGCTGTCGCACGCGTTGGCTCATTCACTGTGTTGTGTGGTGTCAGGTTGAGTGTGGGTCGTCGTACACGAAGAAGCTTGCGGCCATGTTCAGGGACTGCACCCTGAAGGACAACATGATGGAGCGGTTTAGAGAAGCAGTCAAGATGGTGCGTGATAGTCGTGGTTTTGATGCTGCTTGCATGCGATCGGAGTGTCGCCTTCACAAAACATGTTGCGTGACCGTGTCCATCATCGTGACTGTGGCCGTGACCGTGGCTGTGACTGTGACTGTGCCTGCGCGGGGTTGTGGTGTGTTTGCCTCCAACTTGTGTGTTGTTGCCTCATCTTCTCACCCATGCGTTCTCTGGTTAACTAAACACACGCGTGCAGAATGAAAAGAGGCCCATGTTTGACTTCTCCGTAAACGTGCTGACGCTCGGCTCCTGGCCGTTTACACAGCAGCCGCCCGCCTGTGTTCTTCCACCACAACTCATGTACATGCGCCGTCACAGTCGCGCTGCTGCTGTCTTGACATGGCATTGGACATGTGAATACACACAGACTCCATCTCTCCACCTCTCGCACGCACATGGCCTCATTGCGTGTTTTCTTTGTTTTGTTGTTCTCACTCTCACGCACACACACACACACACACACACACATGCAGGCAAGCGTGCGATGTGTTTGAGCAGTGGTACCACTCGTTCCACACGGGCCGCAAGCTCACGTGGGATTTTGCGCTGGGTCAGGCGGAGATTGTTGGTGTGTTCCAGAATGGAAAGAAAAAGCACATCTTCCAGGTGGGTTCAAGGCTGATGCGTGTCCGTATACATGTGTGATTCGTTTGTCATGTGTGCAGTGTGTGTGTGTGTGTGTGCGTGTGTGTGTGTGTGTGTGCGCGTGTGTGTGTGTGTGTGTGTATGCGTTTGTAATTGACTTATTTTTGACCAACCGTGCCACCACTGGCTTTGTTGTTGGTTTCAGGTCACGACGCTCCAAATGATCGTTCTTCTTCAATTCCGCAAAGGAGTGGCGCTGTCTACGGAGGTGCGCATGTACACATGTTTGTATTGCAACACGATGTGCTGGGGATTTGGCAACCTGAACATGACAACTATGCACAGGTCCTCACACATACACGCACACACCCGCACACGCACACACGCACACACGCACGCACACATACGAAAACACATCATGATTCGCGCATGGTGCAGGCGCTTCAGAGCAGCACGCAGCTGTCTCTCGTGCGCTTGCATCGCATTCTGCAGTGCTTGGCATCAAGCAAGGTCCGGCTCCTCAAGAAATCGCCGCCGACGAAGACAATCGGTGCGTCGTCAGCTGCTGCTGATGTTGATGGTGGTGGATGTGGTGGTTAAGACCGTGGAAGACTTGGTTCTGCGTTGGCCTTGAACAGTGTCTTCCGTTCTTTCTTCTTCTGAGCACCTGGTGACTAAGCGCTTGCACACCCACACACACACGCACACCCACGCACACCCACCCACACACACCCCCCCCCCCCCACCACACACACACACAGCTGAGACGGACGCATTTTCGGTGAATGAGAAGTTTTCGTCACGCATGGTGAAGATTCGCATTCCGCAGCTCGTCAGCAAAGAGGCAACAGCAGCAGAGGCAAAGGTGCGGTGCATTGTGCAATGTTGCTGTGTCATGTTGCTCTGTGTGTGCGTGTGTGTGTTGTTTTGGTTATTGTGCTTGTGCGTTTGCAAAGCTGCATGCATGTGTTTTCGTTGTGCAACTTGCAGTCATGAGTGCAAGCCTCACGAAACCCATCCTTCCCCCCCCCCCTATTCCTGTGGCGACGCAGGACACGATGAAGAAAGTGACGGAGGACCGGAAACACGAGGTCGAGGCATGCATTGTGCGCGTGCTGAAGAACAGGAAGCAGCTGCACTACAACGACATTGTGGTGGAAGTGACGCAGCAGCTTGCCAAGCGGTTCCAGCCCCCACCACTCCTGATCAAGAAACGCCTTGAAGCCCTCATTGACCGCGAATTTGTCGAGCGCGATGACAAGGACAGGTGCGTCGGACACGTGTGTGTGTGTGAATGTGTGAATGTGTTTGTTACTGAGTGTGATTGTGTTGTTACTGTGAGTGTGTCAGTGTGAGTGTGAATGTGTGAATGTGTGAATGTGTGTGTGTGTGAAATGTACGCTTATGTCTGTGCATGTATGATCAAGCAACACATCTCACATGTCTGTCAACATACCCTCCCCCCGGGTTTTGTTCTTCTTGGCGCAGGACACTGTACCGGTACCTGGCGTGATGCGCCATGTGTGATATCACGGTGTCCCTGTTGAATGTGTAGGCATCCTGACGTATCGTTGTGTGCGTGTGTGTGTGCGTGTGTGTCATGTGTGTGTGTGTGCGTGTGTGTCATGTGTGCGTGTATCGTTATCTAATCGATCGATTGCGGTAAAGTGGGCGACTGGGCAGCCACTGCATGAAAGTTGTATCGTCGTCCTGCCCTCTGTCTTCATGTGTAGCACCACCCCCAACCTTTCAACCGTCCTTCCTTCCTTTTCTTCCTTTATTAAAACCAGGCACACATGTCTGCGATCGAGCCAGGGGGTAGACGCGGGAGGGAGAGATTAGATACAAGCGTAACACACACACACACACACACACACACACACACACACACACACACACACACACACACACACACACACACACACACACACACACACACACACACACACACACACACACACACACACACACACACACACACACACACACACACACCACCACCACCACCACCACCACCACCACCACCATCATAAACGTCGATCGTCATCATTGGATGGGCGGGGGTCGGCTTCCCTCCATGGCGAGAGCATCGAGCGGCAAGATGCGACCGCCGTTGGTAACAAACTCGATCCACACCACGGGCTCTTTGCCACGCCACTTCACGTCGTCCCTTTGGGACAGCACCTCCTCCGCCGACACCCAACACGCGCCAACGCTTTCGTAGTCGGGGACTGTCTTTGCCGGGCAGTGCTCTGGTGTTGCAGGCTCTGCCAGGAACACGACGACTGTGCGGCGGTAGTTGTGTTGGCGGCGGTGGCGTCTTCGACCAGGCCGGCTCAACACCTTGGCCGTGTTGACAGTGCGGATGAGAGAGTGAGGTAGTGTGTGTGTTTGTTTGAGTGAATGTGTGTGTGTGTGTGAGCTTGTGCGCGACTGCGTGACGACAGCTGCATCGGGGAGAGACAAACTCATGCACGCGAACACAGTGAGCCAGACACACACCCACACACACACCCACACCCACACCCACACACACACACACACACACATGCCCAAGCAGGAGGGCTGCCACACCTGAAGGATGCCTGTGAGCTTGATGTCCACACCAGCTTCTTCCTGTGTTTCCCGAATGGCTGCTTCTTGGAACGTCTCACCAACATCAACGCGGCCACCGGGCAGCCAGAAGCCAGAACCCGCGTAGTCTTGGACAAGCAGGAACCTGATGCAGGGCAACAGCAACAGCAAGCACACACAGATATACACGTGGGTGAGACGCTTTGCGCCAAACGATACGGGATCTGACCTTGTTTGAAAGCACACTCAGATACACACACACACACACACACACACACACACACACACACACACACACACACACGCACACACACCCCCAACCTGCAGGCACACACACACACACACACACACACACACACACACGCAAACTGCAGGCACACATGCCCCCCCCCTTAACCCACTCACAGCTACATACCACAGAACCCTGACCTGCCGGTAGCTGGGTGTCTGCAGACGATGAGTGAGAAGCAGTAGCTGTGTTCCACGTCCATGGGTTCGGGTTGTACATCAGGGAGCGATGCAGGGATGTGATGGTTGCGGATGTGCACTTGGACGTTTGTCGTGAGGTTGCAGATGGGGCAAACCCGGTCCTCCGTGTTGTGATTGCAGTGGTACAGCGGGTAGTGCAGGAAGATGCCTTCTGCAGAGAGATCAGGCATGCCGCACATGTCGCACGTGTAGGTGCCGGCCGACCTGCACTGCCGAACGAGCGTGTGCACGACGTGCGACAGAGCGCCGGTGTCGTGCGTCACCTGGTTCACCCCGGCATCAAACCACATCTGCCTCAACACCAGCGAGTCAGTCGCCCGTCTGCTCCAAACGACGATGAACAAGGACGGCAGAAGCGCGCGCACACGCTCCATCTGTTCTGCCACCATTGAAAGCGCGTCCTCCGTGAACACCAACCCCACAGCGCCACGGCGCTGCACCGCTTCTTGTATGGCATCAGCCGTGTTGTGGCCCGCCTTTGCTGCGCCACGAATGGTGTGCTCGACCATGTGCACATGCTGCTCGTGTTGTTGAATCGCATCGCGCACACCCGCAGGCACGTGCTGGCCATTACCCACAACAACGACAACAACAGCTGCAGCAGCTGCTGCATCAGGTGCGTGGACGCCTCGCTTCTTTTCACTCATTGTTGTTCGCTCGCTGCTCGTCTTGCTGGCAGGAAGAAGGACAGCGCAGTTGACATGAAATTACGCAAGAATGACGTTGAAGAGCGTGGACGAACGCGCAGACACGCATTTGAAGTAACAACAGCAGCAACGCAGGGTCAGGTACTCGCTCAAAGCGGAGACACACGGGTGTACACGCAAGAAGGAGCGCATGCACGCACGCACGCACGCACGCACAGGGTCACAGGTTCAAACACAAACACAAACACAGTCAGTGTGTATATGTGTGTGTGTGTGTGTGTGTGTGTGTGTGTGTTGTGGGCTGCGTTAGGTTTGCTTGGTCTTGTTTGCTTGGCGCTGGGCCAGGGCTTCAAGGTACTTGCCAAGGCCCTTCTGCACAGCCGGCTGCCGAATGAACTTGACAAAGAACTCCAGATCCCCTTCGCGGTTGAGGGCCACCTTGTCAACAATGTCCTTGCGGATGGCAAGCTTGGAGAGGTGGCGGGCAGCGGCGGGAACAGCCAGGTAGTCTTGGAGCAGATCAACGCACGTCTGCACCACGTCCTCTCTCGGCCGCACATAGTCCACGAGGCCCACGCCCTTTGCCTCGTGTGGAGACAGCAGCGCACCCAGCTGCAGCAGGCGCTCCGCGTTGCGCTGGCCGACAGCACCGCGGAACAGATCCATGAACCACACCGGCGCCACAATGCCAAGCTTTGTCTCGTTGAGGCCAATGGTGACGGGGGCGTCTGCCATCACGCGCTCGTCGCACATCAGCGCAACAAGGCAGCCGCCAGCGGGACTGTTGCCCTCCACAGCGGCAGCCGTGGCCAACCGGGTCGTCATCAGCTTCAGGAACAGGTCCTACACGCGGGTTGGTGTGTGCATGTGTTTGCAAGGGGGAGGGGTGATGGGTTTGGAGGGAATGGTGTTTGAAGAGTTTGGGTGAGATGGACGATGAAGGGTGTCAGAAAAAAATCTTGACATGCGGCAACAACACATGCATGCACGCATGAGCGCATCGTGGCAGAGACATGCACACATACTTCCACCTACACAAAAGGACACGCACACACACACACACATTCACACACGCACACACATTCACACACACATATTCACACATTCAAGCTTTACCTGCAGTGTGGACCAGAACTTGTTCAGGTGGGGCAGATCCTTGTCGTACATTTCGCGGATATCAAGACCAGCCATGAAGGTGCTGGGAAGGCTGGAGGCAATCACCACCGCCTTGTTGTCCTTGTCCGCCTGCCACAAAGCAAGCACACGTAAGCGAAGCAAACGAGGTGTGCGTCAGCATCGTCGCACCATCGTCCAAGACAGGACGGGCGATCAATCGCACAGCCAAAGAGGAAAGGCTGTGGACGCACGCACGCACACACGTGACAAAAACGCGGCTGCACAACCGCGTACATGAACATGAAGACGATCATCATTCGTGTGGACACGCACCTCGAGTTCTTCAATTGTGTTGACGAGGTCGCGGGTGAATTCAAGCGACAGCGCGTTCACGGGCTTGTGGTTCATGTACAAGATCTTGACGCCATCAACATCCGTCGGCTCCACTGCAAAACACACACACACACACACACAAGAAGCAAGAAAGGGGGGGGGGGAAGCAAGCGAGCAATCACACATAAACATGCACACACATGCACAAGCATGATAGGTGAGCCCTTGCTGCTCCGCAATCGCCCTCCATCAAAGCAAGGCAAGGGTAAGGGCAAAGGGGCAAGGGCAGGCATGGAACGTAAACAAGCTGTTTTCAAGGACTGACAGACGACATTGTTCATTTGTGTAATGCCGACGAACCTGAGATGGCAGAGACAGCGCGTGTTGCTTGAAGCAGACGTGCCCGAGCACCACCAGCACCAGTACCGGCGACAGTAGCAGCAGCAGCGGCAGCCCTTTGCATGCCGGCAGCAGCAGCAGCGCCGCGCATCAACCGGCCCGCAGCAAGGAAGGACGCCATCATCATCAAAACCAACACAGCACAACACAACAGGAAGCGACGAGCGATCAGTGGCGGTGGTGGTTGTCGAGAAATTGTGCGGCGAAATTACATGCTGTCGTGTCAGCGAAACGGTTCCGGCTCACGAGCACTCGACGAACGCACCAACCAACTGACCAACCGACCATGCAGCGCTTCGAGTCAGCCATCAGGTGCTGTCAGTGGTGCTGTCAGTGGTGCTGTTTGTGATGGGCTGCTGGGTGTGTTGTGAACTACTGCTCATCTACTGCGTGAATGCCCCCTCTCCGCCTTGATGATGGCTTTGTGCAGGGATGTGGTCCAGTCCATGAAGCTGGGCCTTGAGCTGAGGGACGGCAACATGCCCCTGTCTCTTACAGACCAACAAGGCGACAGATGTGAGCAAGCGTACATGTCACTGTGCATGTACAAACGAGTGTGTGCGTCTTGCACGAGTGTTGTGCCACTGTACGCTTTGCGACGGGGCCCTGCTTTGATGTTTGCAGCTGTGTCTGGTCACAACACGCTGTCCACTGCGCAGGGGGGGGGAGGGGGCTAGCTACTGCCCGGGTGCATGCTCACACACACACACACACACACACACACACACACACACACACACACACACACAGACACACACACAGACACACACACACACACACACATGCTCACACATACGCGCGCACATACTCACACACACACACACACACACGCACACACACACACACACACACATGCCCACACATACGCGCGCACATACTCACACACGTACTCTCGCGTGCTCCCCAACGTCTGTTGCTCTTGTTTGTGCAGTGTACATTTGGAATGAGGAAGCGTCAGAACTGGTGGTGATGGACCTGCTGCATCGACAGCAGGCGCCTGCTTCCCTGGAGAAGCGGGTCATTCCCGTGCACCGAACAGTGCAATTCCCCGTGCGCCAGCTACACATCAACGTCACCGGCAGCCTGGCCGCGCTCGTCTCTGAGCAGGACATCCAGTGCGTGACATCCCCCTTGAGTTGCATCACACCCATCGCCCCTCGCTTGTTAACTGTAGTCTTATTGCAAAGAGACGGTGACCATGAATCGTGCGTGTTTTGAACTTCCTGCAACGTATTGTCACACGCGTGTGCATCTGTACCACCGTAACACCTTCTCAGGGTCTTTGACTTGTCTGTAAGAGGACCCTCGGAATGCAAAGAGTACGTTACGCACGTGCCATGGTTTGATGCACTGTTGTCATGACCCTCTGCTTGACGAACGCTCACTTCCGCGACTCATGTATGTATGTGTGTGTGTTTCTGCCTCTGTGTGCTGGACATGGCAGGCTGAACATTATCACAAGTGGGGAGGGTGTTGTGCAAGCAAGATGGCACCCATTTTCGCCACGCGCACTCTTCGTCTTGTCCTACAGAGCCCTCGAGTATGTTGGCCGCGTGTACGCGCGTACGTGTGTGTGAATATGTGTGTTGGTTTGCGTGTGCGTGCGTGCGCATGTGTGTTGGTTTGCGTGGGCGTGCGTGCGCATGTGTGTTGGTTTGCGTGAGGGTCTGCATGTTAGGCCACTGTTTCGACAGCGATGCCCTTCTATCTTGCTGACGAGCGTGGCCTGCGTGTGCCACCAACAGGTGCTACCAGTTTCCAGACCTGGACGAGCCAGAGATCCGCCTCACCCTTCCTTCCATCGCCGCCCCGTTAGTCACGCAGTGCACACGAGCATGTCTCACTGTGCTGTGCTATGCTGTGTGTGTATGTGTGTGTGTGTGTGTGTGTGTGTGTATGTATGTGTGTGTTGGCAGTGTGCAATTATTTCTCATGGTGCAGTGTGTGCTACATGTTGCTGACACCCATTCTCTGCGTTGCACTGTGTATATGCAGGGAGAAGGAAGTGGTTGCCTTCTGCTTCGGCACAGGCGATGGGTGGGAGCGCTTGTGCGTGTACGTTCTGCATGCAGACACCACCATCTCCTCCTTCTGCCCCGTCATCCCAGCAAACAGGTGCGAGGTTGTGTGTCTGTGTGTAACAACGTGTCACGTATGTGAGTAAACGCACCTTGTGTTTGGATGCCGTCAGTGTGCTTTCCCTCCTCACCTCAACGCCCCCTCCCCCACCACAACCAAACGCCACCATACCACGCCCATCTACCCCCCCCCTCTTACCGTCTTTCTCTCTCTCCACACCAGCCTGCTTGGGCGGCAGTACCTCGAGCAGCTGCGCGATGCGGAGGCAACGGCTGCGGATGGCGGCATGGCCGCGTGGGTCAACCGCATCATCGACCTTGGCGCAGCACACACTCCGGCCCTCCAAGGTCTGCCACGAAGTGCGCAGTGGTGTTGACAGAGACATAGTGTGTGCGTTTGTTTGTTTGTTTGTTTGTTTGTTTGTTTGTTTGTTTGTTTCATGTACTGGGCGTGCGCGTGTGCGTGTTTGTTCGTTTCATGTGGCATTTGCATACGGGTCACATCTCTCACGACCTGCCCTCGTGGTATCTGCCCTTCTGCAACTCTCCGTCCTTCCCCACATTTCAGCCGGTGCCGCTGAGGACGAGGACCAGGTGCTGCGCGTGTCTGTACCGCGACCGGACCACCCAACCTGCATCGTACGTCACCGCTAGCAACCACGCGCGCACGCACGCACGCATGTACACGCAAGCACACACACGCATGGTAGAAAGGTTGATCGTGCTTGATAGAATCTACACTGCAGCCTTGGCCAACACACCTCACGTGTGCTTGTACGCATGTACCCGCGCTTTGTTGCGTGTGTGTGTTTCAATATGTGTGTCGTGTGTCAACATGGGTGTCGTGTGCACAGGGTCCGTACACACAGCTGCCGAAGAGCCACGCGTTTGAGGACGACGCGGTCTGCATCGAATCGGTTTGTCAACAAGCACCACACACACACACACGCACGCACACACATACACACACGCACACACACACACACGCACGCACACACACATACACACACGCACACACATACACACACGCACACACATACACACACGCA